GGGGGGCACCCAAGGGTGCTGCCGGTGACCCCCAGTGTGTCCCCACCCCCGGCACGGCCCTTTGTCCCCATGGCCCCCGGCCAGGTGACAAAGTCCGGGGGGTGGGAGAAGTACTGGAAAACGCTCCCAAAAGTGACAGGATTCCACCCAAAAGAACCAGAAACACCCCAGGACACACCCCAAAACTGCCAAAAACACCCCAAAACTGCCACAGCCCCCCAGAAACACCCCAAAACTGCCATGATCCCACCCAAACCAGCCAGAAGTACCCCAGAACACACCCCAAAACAGCCATAGTCCCCCAGAAACACCCCAGAACTGCCACAGCCCCCCAGAAACAACCCAAAATAGCCAGAAACACCCAAAACTGCCATGATCCCACCCAAACCAGCCAGAAGTACCCCAGAACACACCCCAAAACAGCCATAATCCCCCAGAAACACCCCAAAACTGCCACAATCCCATCCAAAACAGCTACAGCCCCCCAGAAACACCTCAAAACTGCCACAGCCCCCAATATCTACTCCTGTCACCCCCAAAAGCCACCACTCACCTCCCATAAAATAACCCTCGAATCACCCCCAAACCACTCCTCCCTCAGCTCCCTCCCTTCCCCTGATCTGCCCCCATTCCCAGGGGGTTCCCCCCCATTTTTGGGTTTTGGGGACCCCCCTCACCGCCTAATCCCCCCCTCCCCAGCCGCCACCATGCAGCTCTTCATCCGCGGCCAGACCCTCCTCACCCTCGAGCTCTCCGGCTCCGAGACCCTCGCCCAGATCAAGGTGAGCCCCCAAATTCGGGCTGTCCCATTCCCTAATCCCACCCTGATTTTGGGGTGCTGACCCCCTCTCTCTGCCCCCCTCCCCAGGAGAGGGTGGCCGAGCTTTCGGGGATCCCCGCCGAGGAGCAGCTGCTGCTGCACGCTGGGACCCCCCTGGACGATGAGGCCGTGCTGGGGCAGAGCCCCCTCCCCGAATTCACCACCCTGGACCTGTCCACGCGCCTGCTGGG